CCAAAAAGAAAACACAGGAGGCAGTAAAAAGTGCAAATTCAGAAATACTGTACTAAATCTGTAACTTGCTTTAATAATTGCTTTTAACAATAGTTAAATGCTTCAAAAGTTTTTCATTAAAAAAGGCAAAAATAAATAAACCTTGAAAATGTGCTTGTTATGACTGGCATTTCTGTTACAGACTTACAAATGGGTTTTCTGGAGAACAGAGACCCTTCTTCTTTTACAGACTGCTGTGCATTACCAGAAATAAAGCTTAACAGGTAACAAGACAAAATCTGAAACCCTCTGCATCTCGTGGTACAGACTGCATGCCTCCAGAAAGCACAAAGAGACATCCAAGGGTCTGCCACTATGAGGCAACATTTCTCTCTGTAAAGCATGGAAATAATACTTGTCTATGAAGTGCCACACAAAAACTCCCATTCCAAGTGCCTCATCCACACTGCTGTACTTTCTTTGCACATTAATATGCAATAACTCTGCTCTCTCAATCTCCCTTGAGATCTTCCTCTGGATATAGTATGGAAGCAGAGAACAGCTGAGACTGGAAGTGACCTCTGCTGATTTTTTATTCCAAGCTCTCCCTTTCAATCAGGGTCAGCTACAGCAGGTTACTTGGGATCATGTCCTTCTGGGTTTTGACTGTTTCCAAGGATTGAGACTCCACAGCCTCTTTGTGCAACCTAGATTTACCTCCCTTATCCAAAAGAAATTTTATTTTCTTATGTAATGAGAAATGTATGTTTCATATGTATTTCTTATGTAATATAAATGTAATTTCTACTACTTCAGGTTTTGTCCCTTCTCTCTTGCTGGTTCACAGGAGAAAGTCTAGCTGCATCTCCTTTTTACCCTCCCATCAAGAAGGTTATGTGCATGGATAAGATTCCCCTGCACTTTCTCCTCTCCAGGGTAACAAGTCCCATGTCTCCGAGCCTCTCCTTTCATGACAGATACTTTAAGCACTTAATCATCTTCTCTGGTCCTGCTCCCCAGGACATCCCCATCTCTTTTGGAAAGGAAAGCCCAGAGCCAGACAGAGCATTCCATCTGTGGTCCCACCAGTGCTAAGTAGAGGGGCAGGAAAGCCTCCCTTTACCTGCTGGCAGTGCCTTTTTAAGGCATCCCCTTGTGCTATTGACTTTACTTGCCATAAGGACAAATTGCTGACTCACAGTCAGCTCAGTGTCTGCCAGGCCTCCCAGTTATCTTTTTGCAAAGCCAAAATAATGGCATGGACCTTTGTGTGATATTTCTCCTTTTCTGCAGTCTTTTCCTGCAGGAGGCATGTCAGGAATATTGCCAATAATCTCAGTAGGCTGCTATTCAGAGGAGAGGAAGGCTTTGTGGAAGGATATCTGTGTTGAAACAAACCAAGAGATTAGTTTATCCTATTTTGTGCAAAAGAAAAATGCTATTTTTCGTGGGAGTATGTGCTGAGATAAAGGACATGCTGGGCAGACTGTGAGTGATGGGAGGTAACGTAGCAGGCATGGTGATATGGGCAGTGTTAGCCACAGGCTGCCACAGACAGGCTTCTCTGTGGGGAGGGATGCTGGTAAGTTCCACGTGGCACAGCCAATGGCAAATGTTGTGCCAAGGCCAGCTGCCATCTTTCTTGCCCTGTGTGTGTGCTGGCTGTAAGGCCCTCGTTGCCCTGCTGCCTCCTTAGGAGCCAGTGAGTAAGGCCATACCCAGCGTCACCCTGGCTGCTGGCTGATTCCATGGACTTGAGGGATGAATAAGGGACATCACATATGCTGTGGTGACTGATGAAGGGACAGCTGTGCGTGTTGGTCTAGAACCTGTAGAGCTGCAGAACCTGGATGTTGTGTGCACTGCTAAGGGTGAGTGACTTGTGACCAAATCCATCACAGGATCCTTCTGAAGATGCCTTCACTGAGGAATGCATAGGCCTGTGACAGCCTGTCGGTGGCCAAGGCAGCCCTGCCAGCAAAGGTACCCAACACTTCCAGGGCACAGGGCTGCCAATGAAAGATACCAAGTGGGCCAAGAGCTCCTGTCTGAAGGAGCTTGACCAGACACATAAAGCTTCTTCAAACTGGGGGAAGAACACAGTCCTACAGGACAACTGAGAGAGAAACCATCATTAATTAACTACAGCACCAAGGTCTGCAGCAGCACCTAACTGAACAATCACTGGCACTCACTCTGAGCAAGACAAACATGAAACAATCAAAATGCTCCTTCCCACTGACAAAAGAACAGAAGCATGGATGCGAACTAAATCTTGAGCTCTGCGTGGGATGTTGTGATTGGATGAGAGGCTTTGGTCTGTGAGCTGACCTGGACTTCATATCCTTTTGTGAAGGTCCAAATGTCCAAGAGTCTGTTGGTTTAGGAATAGCACCACAATGAAATGCCTGACAGAGGAAAGGGCAACCAAGCTTTAGTTGACCTCTTTCTTGGGACAAGCATTGTCAAACAAGGATGTGTGGATAAACACATCCTTTTGTGTTTGTGCTGCATTACACAGCTGTGCTGGACAGGGCAATACATTATCTTCTCTCAGAGGAAGCGTTTCAACTTCAGGAAGGTTTGCTTAACCTCACTGGACTCCATGACAGATCTAAAATTGCCCAGTTCACTAGGCACTACCTCTCATATTCTTACAATTCTGTGCTGATAGCTGATCATAACCAAGATTTTTACTTACTTGTGGAATGATTTAGTTGCCTCTGCAATTTGCTTTACATTAATAATTCATTTGACCAATATAAAATAGAAATGCTAACAAAATCAGTAACCTGGGTTTTGCATTAGCACACATCTAAGCAGTGGACTGCCCCTGCTCTAGTGTAAACCAGAAAATTTCTTTAATTAGTGAATATATTCAACTCAGAAATATTTTGCTAACAACATGAATGCTGTGAATCGGCTGTTACAAAACACCTGTACTAAGTCATGGGACATCTTTGCAGCCACCAAGTTACAGGTTGTCTATGATGATACAAATATGATTCAGGTAGATGGTCACAAGGGCCACAGTGGCTCACATACGGTGAGTTGAAGCACACCACTAGACAATTCGATTGTCAAGGAAAAAGACTAAAGGCATATTCAAATGTTAGAAGTGGCAGGGACAAACATACTGGCTAGTCCTCTGCCTTCTGAGCTGTCAGGTATACTGCAAAGGACCATGGCCACAAGTGGAGAAGGCAGTTTGAAAAGAAAGAAGGCAGTCTCAAGAAGGAAAAGCAGAAGAAGCAACAGCTGCAGGAACACCTTACAGTTTAGGGAGCACTCCCAGCTGCATGGTTAAAGGTTCACCCTACACAGGCACATGCATCCATTCAAGCTGTGTCCTCCTACAAGGTGGGATCCTTTTCAGCTAAATGGGACTCACAACAGTGGTGACCAGTTTACACACTGCTCCTGTGAGAGAATATCTCATTATCTTTGCAGTAGATCTGCAGTAATGAGCCACCCAAGGGGGTCAAAGTCTAAACATCTTTCCTCAAAAGCCCTGTTCCTGCATAACAAGGGTTGTAATAGATGGGCCTGGACCACACGCTGTACCATGTAAAGTACCAGTGTGATGTAAATGCACCAGTCCAGACCAAGCTCTCCATGGCTCCAATTGCATGAGCAATTTCAGCTGAATGGGACTATGAAGAACTGTTCTAGAGAGAAAGGTAGGGATGATCCAGAAGCTTTCCTCTCGTGCAGACAATGAAAAGGGTTAAAAAGTCCACTTCTACTCTCCTGAGGCATAATTTGTTCTAGACAATTTCAGAGCCATTTTGTCTATTGACTTTGGATTTCTGTTTTAAAATTATGTAGCATTTAAGAGGTCAAAGCAGTTTCTTTTATTGTCCCTCCATTCTTTTATTTCAAAGGAATTATGCAACTGGTTTCTGCTGGCTATTGTATATTATGACTGTCTTGCAGACCATGAATGTTTCTTCAGCTGGTTTGTTCAGCTGATGTGCCATGAAGTTGCTTGTGGAAGAATGTAAGAATGGTCTTGTAAGAATGGTCTCTGTATGTAAAAAAGGCACATTTTGAACCTAGCATCTGGTGCTGTGACCTGTGGAAAAGAACAGCACACCTTAAACAACCCTTCAAAGTTATAGCAGTGATTTCAAATCCTTTTCTGGTAGCACCTCACTAGGATCTAAATATCCTGATGCCTGAATTTAAAAGTTACAGAAATCTTGTCTTCCTTATTTTCTCAACTTCTCTTTCCCCAACACATTTTTATTAATTCTGTAGTTCTTCCCTTTATAGAAGTGATGAAATTATTTTATATTCCCAGAATAGTCTCACTGAGGGTTTTGTTCCACTGATGTGCTGCCCAGATTGTGATTGTGTCTGAGTTCCTTGAACTAGATCGCTCTGGAATGAAAAGCTGTGCTCTGTGAAACACTGTGACTGTGGTCATTTACAATGCAGCAAGGGACACCAGACAGATACATTTAACATCTTGTAGAAAAATATACTTCAATTGTGTTAAATTTGGCAATAAACATTGAAAGGAAATGCTCATTCTTATGTTCCACAGCAGCAAATTTTCTTCATTCTTTAGGAAGAGCTGTGGATTCTGGTGGGAAGGAAGAATAGTGATACTGGTAGTCCAGCCAACAATGGGAGAAAAGTTGCAATAAATACAGCTGAGCATATGCTGATCTTACCAAAATTTGTAAATTCACAAAATGGTGACTGTGAAATGGATCTGGCTGATCACTATTCAAGACAGAGAAATACTAAGGAAAATCAGACAAAATTCCTTACAGACATTCTACAAGACTGAATTCCTCACCATGCTTTTTTGTTTTATTTTCACAAGCTATGTTACACTATTTGCTGCCATAACCAAATCATTCTTACTATTCAAGTTCCAATGAATAGCTTTTATCATTATTTTTGCTTCAGTCATTTTAATGTTCTCCTGTTTCTTCTTTCATGTGCTATGATGAATAAACCCTCCTTTTTGAAAACTTTAAGTTAAAATCCTTTCATTCAGGCTTTTTTTTTTTTCCTTTTTATTTTTGGTTCAAGGAATGGACTTATTCAAAGTAAAAGTGCATGTCTGACATTGAGCTCCATCCATCACTTTATTGGGTAAACACAGAACAGGCAGCAGGGGCGTGTCACAAAATAACACAAGATATATTTCAAGGGGTTTGTCAAGTCTGCTCCAAGTACAGCTGAGAAGCTGTGCTATACCATTCCCTGGTGAATCTGATAAGGTAAGGATAATTTTTTTCAATTATGATTTAAGTTCTAATCTGCAAGATAAAAAACAATTGTCTTTTAGAATATTTATAATCGTATTGATGTAACCTCATGTTTGTGGCCTTCAATATCAGTCGAAGAAACTAATTATCACAGGATGCCTTCTGCAGAAACCTTATCTGCCTTCAGATGTATTGTCTTTATTATTTTGCTGTTTCACAGACTGCCATGCATAAAGTCAAAGTGTTTGTATTTATGAACTATAGTTTTGTTTACTAACTCTTCCACATTGAAAAGCTGGTGATAAGTTACAACAGACTTTCTTCCTTCTCCCTCTATTACTTTAATTTTTCATGTACTATTAAAAGACAAAATTGAATTTGTTTAAATTCCAGGGTCTATGTAAGATACT